AAACGCACCTAAAAAAAAAACCGACAGTTTATAAAACTCTTAAGCGAGCAAAGGGAGAAAAGCAAAACAAACAAGTAAGTTTAGTTCAGTTCAGTTTAGTTGAGTTCAGTTCAGTTCAGTTTAGTTTAGTTTAGTGTAGTTTAATTCAGTTTAGTCGATTTACTCGAAAACGAACTCCCACGTTTACTTGAAGATATTCCACTTCAACTACGTCTAAATATGTGGTTTCAACAGGATGGATGTCCAGCCCACACGTCTGTCATTGCTCGTCAACAACTGAACCGCATATTTCGCGGCCAATGGATAGGTAAATATGGTCCACATAACTGGCCACCACGATCACCGGATCTTACAATTTTGGATTTTTATTTGTGGGGAAGAATAAAAGACCTCGTATACCGCGAACGACCTACGACTTCAGAAGACATGAAGAACAGAATTCGAGAAGCCATTCAGTCTCTAGATCCTGTCGAAATTCGTCGGGTGACGGATGATTTTCAACGAAGAATAACAGCCTGCATACATGCACGTGGAGGACACTTCGAAAATCTAGACTGAACACATGCGTACGAACAAAGGTGACGACAAGGGGAACCACCTTAAAAAAGCACCCCGACGAGGTGTAAGTCCGACCTTGTGACCTCCACGTGGTACATCTTGGGTAACACTGACACAGTCGGCATCGACTGTTCAAGATCTTAATAATTAGGAATCTTTAAAAATCGATGTACACGACTACAAATGAATCTAAAGGTAGAATTCAAATTCACCAGCAGATGCATCATAGCTATGTAAATACCTAGTATTGTTTGAACTATTTTTTGTACAAACACATCCATATCTTTTAGAAGGTTGGTACGGGTGCTCTAAAAGTAACTTGACCTTCACATGACCTCTAAGGGTAATTTTGACCTAGGCTTGATAACATATTCGGACGTAAAATTTTCCGTTATTTTCATTTGTGATGTCATGAATAAGGGTTTACATTTGTAAAATGGTACTTTGACCTTGAGTTATGCCCAAGGTCG